GTAGCTCAATGTTTTAAGGTATTTGTGAACAAGGCTACAGAGCAATTTTGATAAGACAAGGCAACGTTCCAGTCTCTGAGAATATTTCTCCCAAAAAACCATTTTTTAAAATACCACTGAACAGCCTGGAAATCCGCCCCCACGTGAACAATCGCCTGCAATGTGTGGAAAGCTTTTCAGGTGTCACAGCCATAATAGCAGGTGGTTCCTTTGGGTAGAAAAATTATGGCAAAGATATAGAGACAGAAAGCAAACTCTTTTAATATTCTCGGTACAGCTTTCCCCAAGTGAATCATTCCCATATGCCTACTCTTACCATGGGCCCCTTTCCAGAGGAAGCGGGTTGTGTGAATGGAAGTGTAGAGATGCATTCTGGTGGACAAACTTCGATGGTGCCCATGTTTGACAGATCAAATTAATCTTTAGATATTTGTCAGCCTACTCTTTTGTAAGTCTCAAAAGGCAAAAATGGATTTGATGCCTGTTTTTGCATCCCTCATAATAAATACATAATCTTGTTATGAAGATTCAGTAGTGCTCATTTGGGGCAAGGCTGCTTCTGAAATTCCATGTAAATTGATTTTAAATACAAACTTATACTGAGACTAGAGCAATTTGCAAAGGTGGTCATTTAATTCACTTTTTATTATGAAATATTTGAGATATACAAAAAGTTTACAAAACAAGTATCTACTCTGTAGTGAACTTTTGTTGCTTGTAAGATAAAAATCTGGACTAGTAAAAAAGATTTCATTTCCAGATAGAAGTATAGCAAAAAACTGGAAATTAAGAGTTTTACTAGCATTTTTTTCTATGTTTTTGTTTTCTTTCTCCGTAGTGTATGAGACTAGCATTATTATCATTCACAGCACATCAAGTCTCCTTTACTGAAAAGGGAGATGCTGGTGCCACCATCATAATTTAAAATAAAAATTGGCTAAGGTCTAATAGGGAAGGATGTGTATAACAAGATTGTTAATGGAAAGCTTGACTTTATTTGGATGGAAGACAACTACATTGAAAAATAAAAAGGAAACATAGTCCTTAAGCTAATTGATTCTGGCCCCTCCAAATCTTAGAGTGGTGTCATTTACTAGCTGTATGATGTTGGGCAAATTCTTTAACTTGTCTACATCTCAGTTTCTGGAACAGTATGGTAATGATAACAAAGGGATTTACCTCTTAGGGTTGTTGCATGTAAAGCCCTTAAAACAGTGCTGGGCATACAATAAACCCTCAATAAATGTTAGCTCACTTTCTTCCTCTTTCTCAACAGAATGTTAGCTCCACATGAGAGCAGGTACTTTGTTTATTTAGTTCTGTATCCTCAGATTTCATTTTTCCTGCAGTAGGCACGCAATAAAGATTTGTTGAATGGATTAATTAATGAGAGTAGTTAGGCTTTGAGGCTGAAAATGAAAGAGAATTTGTCCTAAATTTTATAGCTAGTGAGGGAAAAATAAACCTCAGGTTTAGGGTTGGTTAGAGAAGTAAGAAAGAACCCAAAACTAAGATGAGAAGACACTCATTCAAGTTTAAATTCTTCTAACTCTCTGAGTGTTGAGACTGAGGTTGTTTTTTTTTCTTAATTTGTAAAATGGGAATAACTTCCAAGGTTATCCTGAGGATTAAATTAAGGTGTATGTGAAATCTCATAATAAACTATAAAGGGATATACAAACACATGATATTATTGATTTTTTTACCTCAGTAAGTTTATCCGTTGGATAACAATAAAATGATTCTATGAGAGTCTAGGAAAAAAGAATCTTTAGCTAAAGATTTAAGTACTAAAAATATTCAACCCTAGAGGTACCACAGACATAGACTAATTTTTTCCATCTGTGTAGTTTAGGGTAGATTTGGCATACACTCAATACCAGGCAAGAAAGAAACTATGGTTTAGGCTGCTTTTACAGTTTAAAAAAAAAGCAGAAAAGGAAACTATTTCCTTTTATAAGCATGAATGCTAAAATAGGGAAAGCCTTCATTGAGTAATTCACCATGGAAGCAAGACAATTTAATCCATAGATCCTCTCTTACATTTCCCTATTCCCCATTTATGTTCTAATTAGTTGTTTTTTATATCATGATTTATATATTATGGCCACATCCTCCTTACTAAAAAAAAAGAAATATAGATTATTCTTTATCAAACACATGTGACTCAGAGGTCAAAACAGCAGTTCTTTGTGGGGTAATCTCCCCAGATTAGTAATATTTAAAGACCTGATTTTCAGAGCCAAGAATTATTCAAAATATTATGGCTTTGAGATTAGGCCCCACCCAAGATGCCTCACTCAACAGAGCCTGAGTCTGAGGTTGAGAAACTGATCTGAGGAAAAAAGATAAAGGACCAGGGGGGTGGGGGGAACAAAACCAAAAAAAACCATAGTGGGAGAGCCTGATGACTCACTGTCCCGTCTTTGAACTTTAGGAATGACAAGATGGAAGATGGAAAAAAGGCAGTGCCCTACTGCAGACCAGATGTTTCATGAAAGACAAGAAATTCAGGGAACTTAAAGACCTATATGTTCTTAGGGTAAAAGCAATAAATATAACTTCCATGGTCAAGTTGTTAAGTGCATCAAAGAAAAGACAGTAGGAAAACTAAACTTGATTACACTTTACCATCAGAGCTATCATCCTAAATCTCATCATTTTATTCTCCTGCCTAAAAATCTCAATGACTGTACATTGCTGCTAGAGCAACTCTAAACTTAGAATGGCATAGAACATTCTTCATAACATGATCCCAACCTTCCTTGTTAGCTTCATCTTCTAATGAATTCTCATTACATATCTTGGAAGGTATAAGAGACCACCTGTAATTTACCAAATAAGCCAGATACTTTTAAATACTGGTCCATGTCTTTACACTATTCTCTCTGCCTGGGGTTTTCATCCCAGCTGGCAAACCCCTAACTGTGCTTCAAAGCCTGGCTGAAGTATCATTTCTTCTCTGTAGCTTTCTCAACTCCCACTCTCTCTTACTACTCAGAATGATTGTGCTTTCATCTAAGGAGTCACTGAATTTAAGCAGGCCTTTGTTAAATCACTTAAACCTATGCATTAAATGGAACTCATAGGGTTCAATTGTCTCCCCAACCTACTGCATACTCCATGAAGGCAAGTGTGAGCCTGTCAATGTGCAATTCTTGGCACACCATAGGAGCATAATGCAGTTTTGTTAAATCAAATATTAGAAGAGCACCAAAGCATAAATAGATTTCCTAGGCCTAGGAATTATGCTAGGACTGGAAAGTGTATGCCAAATCCACATATGTGATTCTGCTTTTGGTCTTACCAGAGTGCATGTAATTTGCTTTTATTTAAAAAGTGTCAGAAGGGGCTGGCCGAGTGGCTCAGTTGGTTAAGAGCTCACTCAAGAGTGTGAGCTGAGCAACGGGATCGCTGGTTTGATTCCCAGCCTGAGCTGAGCTGCCGCTGAGCTGCCAACAGGTGGCAGGATGGCTCAGCTAAAAAAAAAAAAAGTGTCAGAAATATATTTCTCTAGATAAAACATTATTAATCCATTTTCGGCTTAGAATTGACTTTCTTGTAACCCAGTTAGCCAAAAGGTAGCTGAGTAATTTGAAATACTCTCCATCTGGAGCAGAATCATATTTGGGGCTTGCTTCAATCAGTGCACCTCTGTCTTGCTTTTATTCTTCAAAGAGCTCCTCAGTCAACCATAGCCTTTGAAGGCACGTGCAGACCGGAAACCAGATGACCTCTGTTGAATTTTAAACTTGCCACATTCTCTACTCCAGCATTAAACTTATCTTCTCAGTTGAACAAGTTAACTGAAACATTATATAATGTATCAATTTATTTTTTTATCTTACCCATTATGTCACCTTGTTTCAGAAAGTGGTTTTTTTTTAAAGATTTTTATTGGGGAGTTGGGGGGATGGGAACAGCGCTGGGGAATTGGGGGAAGGGGAACAGACAAGTTGCTGTCGTTTTGTTCTTCAGTCTAGTTGTGGAGGACGTTGCTTCACTAGCCCAAGTTGGCACCATCATTGCGCTCTTCCCGGGCGAGGCAGATCAGTCGCCGGCTTCTGGACGGCCGCTCACTGCGGCTGCTGGCTGCTGGCTACACTCAGTAGCCCATGGCAACCCACTGCCACAGAGGCTGCAGCTTACGCAGTGGCCAGCAACTCACAGCAGCCCAGCTCCAGGTTGAGCTGTTGTTCAGCATCTTAGCTGTGGAGGGCAGTGTCACTGGCCCTCATATGTGGGATCCGAACTGGGGCCCTCTGGCATCCCAAACCAGTTCTTAACCATCGCGCCACTCGGCCGGCCCCCAGAAAGTCTTTAAGAGAGGTTAAAAGAAAAAAAAAAATCCCAAATTGAAAAACAAATTGTTCCACTCATCCCTTTGGTTCTTTTGATGACCTTCTGGCAGTACTGATGGTCAGTGTGAAAGACTTTTGAAAAAGTTTTCCAAGTACCAGTAACAGCATTTCTAAAGCATCATTTATCTTGGTTTACAGTAAATAATTCGGTCAATGCCCACAGGTCGTTTACCCTAAGACCCAGTATGAGTTTGTTCAACATTGAAATTAGTCACTGAGCCCTCACCTAGGGTACATAATACAGTAGTTGTTCTCCAGCATCTCCCTTGGCTAAATAAAAGCATAGCTAATGAATGTCTGAAGGTGCTCAGGGTGATGGCATAAAGATGACAGCAGGAACTCTGGAGTCCGTCTGTCTGTCTGAGTTTGGATCTGGCCAAATCTCTGACTGGTTACGTGACCTTGGTCAAGCTACTTCACCTCTCTATGCCTCACCCTACTTATCAGTAAAAAAAGAATAATAATGGTACCTATCTCTCATGGGTTGCTTGTGTGGAATAAGTGAATTAAATGTGTACAGCATTTAGAACAGTGTCTGGCACATGGTAAGCACTCGGTAAATGTGAGTTTTTATATTCTATACTTTTATATTTTTAGGTAAGAAAAGTGGGTACAATAAAAAAATTAAAGAAAGGCTGATCATTTTTAGAACAAAACTTTATTTACAATACCACAATTCAGTCTGTTTTGGTATCACTATTGACAAAATGCCTACAGCTGAGATATTGATTAAGGCGATACATTCATTTTAGCTATACATAAGACCAGAATCCAACATTATCCGTTTCCTATTCCCGTGTGGCTCCGAATGCAGCTTAAAAAAAGAACAAACTCTTTATAATGTACAATGGCTTAAGCAAACCACTTCTTTAATTATTGTTTTGTTTTGTTTTTCCCTATTAAAGGGTTGGACTGAGACTACTCATCTAAAATTTGCTATTTACGGAGAAAGCCCTAGCGAATGGGATGACTTAAAGTTCAGTTTATCTGGCTTTCATAATACAATATCCGTATGATGTTAAAAGACTATAAATGAATAATATTGGTAAACAGTATATATTGATAATTTTCTGACAAATTCATTTATCTAACATCATGTTGAGGAATCAAGAGAATGTCATACATTTTAAAATTTATTCTATTTGCTGATTCACAGCCTTGCTCCATATTATAGTTACCACCAATATAACATGAAAACCAGTACCCATGGAAACCTAACAGCCTGTTTTTAAAGATTCCCTGTTAAACTTCAATTCCAAGTCGAGCTTCCCATATGTATGCATGGATTCATGCATGTATATATGCACTGTTGATATATGTGTGGGTACTAACGCCCCTTTTCAAAAATGTAAAATAATGGTATCTGACACCTAATTGTAAGAAAAACTTCTCAGATTGGGAGGTAGGTAGCTGAGTGACACATGAAAGAATCTTCTTCTATCTGAATTTGAGAATACATCTGTATGAGGCAGAGGGAAAGAGAGAGGAAGAGGAAGAAGTAGAAGTAGAAGAAAACAACTACATTGGCTCAAATTACAGTACACTCAGTTAATTTAAGACAACAAATAAATAAATAAAAAAATGCCCCATTTTTGTTTCCAAAAAAAGAAATCACTGGTAAATTCTTACTAATAATTTTAAAGTTGATCCATCAATATACATTTTGAATCAGAAAAAGTTTGAGTATTATATCTATCATAATTTTATATTCATCTAATACATTCTTCTACTGAGATATCCGACCCATCTTCATCTGCACTCTCTTCTATCTCTGGCAAGTTGCCCCAAAGTAGGAAGTTAACACCTGAAAACAAAAGATCATAAAGTTAGTTGGTGCTGACTACTGTACAACTCAGATCATGATATAAAAAAAACTTATATGTTAACATTCTTATATTAAACCACAGTGTTAGCAGTAAAGAGAAAAACTATGAAAGAATGTACCACAAATAAATTTATTTAATATTATTCATCTAAGACATAAAAATTCTTTAAGCCCTTTTAAGCAAAGGCTTGAATTCTAGAATCTTGGAACTCAAAAGGATCTCAGGAGTCCATTTACTCAAACCCTGCCTCCAGCTACACTATGCCATAATCACTCTACACTGATAATTTTCAAATCTATTTAAAATTTTTTTTAAAAAGATTTTTATTGGGGAATTGGGGGGATGGGAACAGCGCTGGGGAATTGGGGGAAGGGGAACAGACAAGTTGCTGTCGTTTTGTCTTCAATCTAGTTGTGGAGGAAGTTGCTTCACTGGCCCAAGTTGGCACCATCATTGCACTCTTCCCAGGAGAGGCAGATAAGTTGCCGGCTTCTGGACGGCCACTCACTGCGGCTGCTGTCTGCTCACGCTGGCTGCTGGCTACACACGGTAGCCCATGGCAACCCACTGCCACAGGGGCTGCAGCCTACATCATCGGAGGCGACTCACGGGCAGCCCAGCTCCAGGTTGAGCTGTTGTTCAGCATCTTAGCTGCAGAGGGCAGTGTCACTGGCCCTCATATGTGGGATCCAATCTGGGGCCCTCTGGTGTCCCAAGCCAGTTCTTAACCATTGCGCCGCTCGGCGGCCCCCAAGGGAAATATTTAATACCAATACGTTATACTAATCATTTAGTAGGAAATATATAACTAATTCTTAAAGGATATTTATATAATCCATTTTATATTGTCTGGAGCCATTCATTTTTGTTACGGTATGCATGCCTATCATTATTGTTTTCAGTAATTTTTTTGTGTTTGAACTGTTTATAATAAAAAAACCACCTCTCCTGCCCCCTCTCCCCCCAAGAATGAATGGTGTTTTGCTTCTGGTAAAATGGCACTGAAGAGCTGATAGGATCGTAAGGAATCACTAGGTCAAAATCTAAGGGACAATTATAACCCATGAAGGTCAATGGAGAGCTGAAGTCAATTTGCCTTTGAGGGCATTTGCTAATCCCAGGGAATTTGAACTGAGTTTTCCCAATCCTCCTTGGGAAAATTTTGGGAAATCAGGTCTATATGTGTAGGCTAACCTAGAACATAGACTTCTTGGGGCCCTCTCAATCTAAACATTCTAGAATTTTATAAAGCTTGGGTATGTATTCCTTCAAAGCTGCTGATTCTGGTGTTTTAAGGACAGTTCCACCACCCATGAGAAATTCTGTTTTATATCAAGCATCTAGAAAATTCTGCTTTAAATCACAATATTAGGGTTACAAAGGAGAAGTTTGATATTCTTGGAGTCTCAGAGACATGAGTAGCTCGGCATAATTGGTTCAAAGAAGAAAAAATAAACTAAGAGATCGGATCTGACAGAAGCAGCACCTTCCTTTCTCTGTTAAGAAGGGAGGAAGGAAATCCTGCGATACATCTGTTTCTCATGGATTAGATTCAATGCAAGTGGAAGAATGCTGGGCTTTTATCTTTGAAAAATTAACTAATATAAAAAAGTAAATCAAAATTGAAAAATCTCCACCCTGTGTTTTGAACTATACGAAGTAGAAAAAAAATATCAAAGTAGAAACTTCCTTTAATGTGTCCCATGAACAACACAAATATGAAACTGGAAACCTAATTTAGGAGCCTATATCTCACTTAGGGGAGTTCAGATAAGTCCTTGCTCAAAAATGGCCTTCTTAACATACTAGAGTCTTAAATTAAGACCCCAAATAATGGGTTCAGAGCCACAATTGAACACCAGGTGATTAAAAAAAAAAATCTGAGTCTATAAAAACCCAAACATAATTGGAGGGTTTAGAGACCATGACAACCTAGCTTACAACTCGTGCTCTTTTAGTCAGTGAAAACAAATCATACTTAAAAAAAGGAATATATTTTAAGTTCTGAAGAAGATTAAAACATTTAAAAACCTGAGTGTTAGTGCCAACTTGGATTGTCAAGTTCCTTAAAATTGTCCTGTAAACTAAAGGTCTATAAACTTCAGTTCCCACTAAAAAAGTTCCACTAAACGTCAACTTAATTTTTTGTGTAAATAGATAGTAAACATTGAGAACATCTGTCCTATGACAAAACTGAATGGCTAAAGACAATATAAAATGTAAGCATCCTTTAAGAATTGATTGTATATTTCCTATTAAATAATTAGTATAACATATTGGTATTAAACATTTCCCGACTAAAATTCTATCATAATTTATTAATATAGATGTTAAAATGTCCATTTTTATCCTAAAGCAATATCACCAAATAGAGTTGTTACCTAATCATCTTGCCTCCCAACTCCTCCCAGCCCCAGCCTCCCCCTCTCACTTTCTTACACACACACACACACACACACACAGACACACACACAATTGACTATCAAATCTAAAATCTTCCAAAATTCTCTGGAGTCATAATACATATCAAGGCAGCAATTTAGAGCAATTAAAATATCAATTTAAAAAGGCCATAGGGGCCGGCCGAGTGGCTCAGTTGGTTAAGAGCTCGCTAAAGAGTATGAGCTCTGAGCAACAGCGGTTCGATTCCTGGCCTGAGCTGAGCAGCTGCTGAGCTGCCAACAGGTGGCAGGATGGCTCAATTTAAAAAAAAAAAGGTCATAAAATCTAGCTAAGTTTGAGGGTCTTCAATACAATGATGAAAATAGAAATGACAATGAATTTTGGCTAGCAGTTTCCATAAGTGAATGTTTGGGATAAAAGTAGTGACACTTCACTCTAGTGGATCCAACCCAGGTAGAAAGGTCTCAGAAGGAATCCTAAAATGATCTATTGGGGGTTTCACTCAGATATTGATAGACAAATGTTAGAGGAAGGTCTGAGTCAATTGTTTCTTACCAGTAGAGTCTAGTCTGTTAATACCATAAACTGCTTGGCTGTGAAACATCCAGAAGTGTCCATTGTTACAGGAAAGAAGGCAGGAACAACATGGAACAATTACGTGATAACCTACAATGTTCCCACTAAAAAAGAAAGTAAATATTATTAGCTACCATGTAATACCTGGCCATATAAGCATTTTTATGTGCTAATGTAAATAGATGATCTAAAGACTTTATTTCCTCCCTAACATCCTGCATTGCTGGGATCTTTGGGATGAGAGTCTCTGATAATGGTTACAGTTTCACTGTCAAGTAGGAAAATAGTCTTTAAGTGAAATAATACTAACACATTTTCCATTTGTTTGCTAGTATTATTTTATTCATTCTTCCTTCAGAACCCAGCTTCTAGATGCTACAAGGTTGTCATTTATTCTGTAAAACATCCCAAATTGATGTGCAGTACAGACAAAATATATTAAATAAATTCAGATCTGTGGGTAAAAGGTTTTTGCTATTCCCAGAACTGTGGCAAGTTGGGTTCTTATACGTTCTAGCTCCATGCCAGCACCTAAAAACCGTTTCAACAGATGGAGGAGTAGGAAGACAGCATGAGCCCCTGGAAACCAAACACAAGCTGGCTGCTCTAATTTTAGTTTCAGTGTTTTTGTAGGAATTCAGAACTAAAGCAAATCCACAGCTTGTAGAGAAAGTTGCAAAAGTTTTTAATGTCTTCAGGGTTATCCATCTGATTACAGGTACCTCACTTTCCACAGATTTATTTTTTTCCTATCTGGTTACTATTAAATAGAGTGAAAATACAGGGAATGTTTTAGTGCTTTACAAAAAAAATGACAACATGAACTGCTTATACCTTGAGTTGTAAAAATTCTTATTATAGCTTGTTCTCACCCAATGAGATGTGGGAGTCAGTCAATTTTGTGAGGCCCTATAAAAAATACTATAAAAGGTACCAGCCCACCTAAAATATGTCTTCTGATCATAATCTGCTTGAAAGGCAAACAAATGAAAACAAAAGTTGTTCTTAGACTAGGGCTGACAGTTATTTGTAAGACTAGATTGCAAGAGTAAATTCTATGGCTTTAATTACTGCCTGTATTCATTCACTCCTTCAACCAATGTTTATGGAGCATGTATTATGTGTTAGGTACTATTCTAGGTGCTAGGAATACAAGGGTTTTGTTCTCATGGAACTAACATTCTATATCAGATCATTTTGCTCCCTTGTTAAAACCTCTTCAATGGCTTTCCACTTGTCAAACATGAAAACAAACCCCTTCATACCAAGGTCTAGATCTGCGCCATCCAAATGTGGCTATTGAGCTCTTGAAATTTGGCCAGACTGAACTGAAATCCGATGTTAAGTATAACACATATACCAGATTTAAAAGACTAAGAATAAAAAAATAGGACATAAAATATTTCAATAATTTATGTCGTTTACATGTTGAAATGAGAATATTTTGGATATATTGGGTTAAATAACATATATTTAACCCATAAAATTAATTTCACCTGTTTCTTATTTTTTAAAATATGGTTTACTAGAAAATTTTAAATTCCATATGCGGCTTGCATATTTCTATTGGACAGCGCTGCTCGAGATTATCTGTATTTTGACTACGACTCTAATCTACTCATGCTACTCTCCCCCATGATCACAATGTCTCAGCCACACTGTCATCATCTTTTTATTCATTGAACATGTTAAGCTTCTTCTTGCCTTGCGTTCTCTGTACTTGCTGTTCCCTTTGCCTAGAACATTCGTCCTCTGGCTCCTTCTCCCCCTTTAGGATTCAACTCCAACGTTACCTTCTCCTGAGAAGGTTCCTCTGACCATGCACTCTAAAATAGCTCTTACTCTTCCAACCTCTATTAGTCTCTATCACTTATTATAATTACTTCCTTTGGAGTACATCCTGCCTTATTCAATATCTTATTTATTTAAATACCCTGTTGGCTGGCTGTGTTCCCATTAGAGTATAACGCCCAAAGGCCAGTGATTTTGTCTTGTTTATTGCTGTTTCTAGTCCCTATAACAATGACTAGCACCTGGTAGGATCTCCTTATATAGTTGGAATGAATGAATGATTTAGCCAGCATAAAATAAGTTTGCTAACTTAATTATGATTATAACTTATAATCCAAACCCCATTTAAATGAGGAAATCTTAACCTTCTTCTAAAATGGAACTAATAACACTCAGGTCTACCTCACAAAAAATAACAGTAATAGCTTTCATCTGTGTTGTAATTTATAGTTTATCAGCCTTTTAACATTCATAATTCATTTGATCTTGTCTACAACTCTATAAGGTAAACACAAAAGATATTTTAATTTATATCTTAAGAAGATAGTTTTTATATTCTCAAGTTTAGCTTCTTAAGATGTAAGTTAAATAAGAAAACAGAGGGTCAAAGGTTTAGAGGTTTAAGGAGGTTACTCAAGATCACATAGATAGTAAGTGTGGGGGGCAAGGCTTGAACCTGATTTTTATGACTGTAAATCCAAATGTATTTTTCATCTGAACTACATAGTCTTTTTTTAAAAACGAAAGCAGATTTTGTCAATGAACTTTGAAAATTGTAAAATCATATACAAATGTGAAGTGTCACAGGTCCTTTTAAGAAACAGCTCTAAGTAACAAATGGTGTTTCAATGGCTCATTGTGTGGGTTATAACCAGTGCTTGATGCAGCCCACTGAACCTTTCTTTCTGCTTTGGTGTCAACATCCATCTAGCAAACCCAGGGCTATCTAGAATATTGCCATAAATACCATTTTAAACACGCGATGTCCTTCAGTTTACATTCGCAGATTTCAGTGAAATAGCATCTTCCAATTAAGTCCACTGTGCTGGAGAGGTAAAAGCGCAGAGATAGTCAAATGCACTTTAAAAAAAAATTATAAAATACACATAACACAAAATTTACTAACTTAGCCACTTTTAAATGTACAGTTCAGAACTGTTAAGTGTATTCACATTGTTGTGCAACAAATCTCCAGACCTCTTTCATCTTGTAAAATGGAAACTCTGTCCTCATGAAACAATTCCCCATTTCCATGTTCTTCCAGCCCCTGGTAACCATCATTCTACTTTCTGTTTCTATTAATTTGACTGCTTTAGATACCACATATAAGCAGAATCATACAGTATGTCTTTTTGTGACTGGCTTATTTTTCCATAGCATAATGTTCTCAAGGTCCATCCATGTCATAGTATGTGACAGGATAGCCTTCCTTTTTAAGGCTTAATAATATTTAATTGGATGTATATACCACATTTTGCTTATTCACCTATTGATGGACATTTGGGTTGCTTCCACCTCTTTTTTTTTTTTTTTAAATTTAAACTGTTTATTTGACACCACCTCTTGGTTATTGTGAATAATGCTGCTAAGAACATGGGTGTGCACATACCTCTTCTATCCAGCATTAAATTCTTTTGGATATATATCCAGAAGTGGGGTTGCTGGGTCATATGGTAATTTTATATTCAATTTTTTGAGGAACTGCTATCGTTTTCCAAAGCAGTAGCACCATTTTATATTCCACCAATAGTGCACAAGGGTTCCAATATTTCCATGTCCTTGCCAGAAAATGTACTTTTGATTGTGATTTAGTATGAATTTTGTAGTCCCAAAGAGCTGAAAGAGGCTCTAAGTAAAACTACAGTACATTTTGTAAGAGTCAGTTAATATTTGTGAGCTCACCATAAATATGACAAACTTTCCATTTAAAAACTCTTATGTGTTCATTGATTTACACACATCTTAGCACATTAATCCATTACCATTATCACCCCTACAAGGAAGAGTAGACAATAGGAAAGACCTGAATCTATTCTAGATTCTGCTCTAACCGCTAACAATTCACATATCTGAGCCCTCCTTATGACTCTTATTACTTACCACAGCTATTGTAAAGACGAATGAGTTTTAATCATAGAACCTTTGCAATAGTAGGTTCCAGATTTATTGTCTCGTGCTTTTTCTTTTTTGCAACACACCAAACACACACATACTGAAAATATCAACCCACTTATCTTTGCAATAAATGGTTTGCCATTAGGCATGACTACACTTAAACCAATTCAGAAAAGATTTCAAGTAGGGAGGGTCCACAGCTTTGAGTATATTAAAAAAATTTTTTTAAAGCTTCTATTTAAAGTATTATGACTGGGGTGGCTGGTTAGCTCAGCTGGTTAGAGCGTGGTGCTAATAGCACCAAGGTTGCTGGTTTGATCTCCACATGGGCCACTGCGAGCTGTGCTCTCCTTAAAAGGTAAAATAAATAAATAAAAATAAATAAATAAATAAATATGACTATTATAGTCAGCCTCCTCTGGCTATGTGTCCAAAGAATAGCTAGCAGTTCATCCATATTTTGTATAATTACTCTTTCATTCTAATGACAAAGTTTCAATAAAGGGATAAATCTTGAAAATCATGTAATAGCTAGGCAGCGGTTCTCAACCTTCCTAATGCCGCGACCCCTTAATACAGTTCCTCATGTTGTGGTGACCCCCAACCATAAAATTATTTTTGTTGCTACTCTATAACTGTAATTTTGCTACTGTTATGAATCGTAATGTAAATATCTTTTTGTTTTCCGATGGTCTTAGGCGACCCCTGTGAAAGGGTCGTTCGACCCACAGGTTGAGAACCGCTGAACTAGAGGTTAACTATGGAAAAAGAAAGTGCCTTTTAGAGATAGAAAAAGATATATTTGAGTCAAATAGTTACTTTTTCCAAATAGAAAGCAGATTCTTAAGGACTCTACACCAGAAAGTGGGTAGTGACTGAAAACAGAATTTATTTATGCAAATGAATGCATATCAATAGGCTTTATGGGAGACAAGGATTATTTTAGGGCTAAGTCTCTATTTCATCTCATAAAAATATATTTAAATCTCTCATTCCAAGAAAGAGAGATTTTTTTGAGAAAAAGAATACTGAATTATATAGACAATGGAATCTGATTGAGAATGCAATTGCAAATAATGGTGGAAAGCTATAAATGTTTTTTATTTTTGGTGTCAAACTATGGATAAAAACGACAAACGTTAAAGATCTCTCCAACAGTACGGAAAAGCTTGCCTGAATTTACCTAGAGTCTAGGTCATGGACTTGATCCAGTGAGACAGAACGTTTGGGCAGGACATAGCACCTGGGCTCCAACTTAAGAGATGTGGTCACATGATTATAATTGAACTAGAAGCATTACATCAGGACTGACCGCTCTGGCTAAACCACAGACTTTGTCCAGACAGTCTGCCCACTTCGTTATACTCCAAGGGGATCATCAGACTGTTGGGAGTGGCTGGAACAACAAAATGATAACCTCCTTGTTGACTCCCAGAGGTCCAGGCCAAACATTTTCCCCATTTAGTTAAAGGCTACCGTTGCCCGACACTAGCATGACTTACTTGGTAGGAGGGATGTCTGTGGAGAAAAGGTCTATTTCAGTATCAGCCAGCAACACAGCCTTCATCCCCCTAGAGCTGAGCACTTGTTTACAGAATTTGCAGCACAGGATGGACACGCACCGGTCCTTGAAACTACAACTGCCGGTAGACATGGCGGCCCGGGAAGGATGAGGTGTGGGGTTTTGAGAACGGAAACAAGAGCAAGACCCTTCCTAGTTTGATTCCCCCCAGGCTGAAAAGCAAATGGCGAGGCCTCGAGCTTTTCTAAACCCTAAAATCGGGAGGGAAATGAGTTCTATTCTGTCTTCCCGTGAGATGGTCAAAGGAATATTTATTGAGTAGAAACAGGAGGGATGCAGCAATTGGAGCCTTCCTTTTGACTTTCGGGGAAGGGAGTGGAGTTTGAAGTGGGGAGGGGCCCAGCTGCAAGGGCCCTCCGGGACCTCTCTACTGTTTTCCCTTCCTCCGGTCTAAAAGGATCCTCTGCTCCAGCTCCCGCCCCTTGAGCAATTCCCGTAGCTTCTCCAGCTCAATCTCGTATTTAAAGCGTCTCCTCTCTTAGGCCCCTCCTCCGGAGAGCTCGAATTCCTCTCGGTTGGATCGCGGGCTCAGCGTCCCTACCCACGTCTCCTCTTTGGAAATCTTTCTCTTCCCAAGGTTCAGAAATCCCCTCCGCTTTTCCCACCGGGACGATCCCTGCTTCTCCTCAGTCCCTCCGCGACTCTCCTCAGCTCCGCTCGTTCGCCGGCCCCTGCTTCGCGTCTCTCCTAGGAGCCCCCAGCCCTCCGCGTGCTGGCTCACGCGCTGCTTCTCTCGCGTCCTCCTCCCTTAACTCTCCCTCGTGAACCCCGCCTTCCCCTCCGGTCTCTCCCGAGCGGCCGCTCCGGAGCCCGCGGTGGTGGTGGTGGTGGGGGGGGGCGGAATCGAGGTCGGTTTGGGGGCTCAGTCGGCGTTAGGGTCTCTGTCACCGAACACGTAGTTTTTTAACCCCCTCTTCCGCTGTCTCTGCCTTTCCAACCCTCTGTCAGTTTGAATTGCCAGCGCAGCCCACGGATTGGGAGAACTACAGCTCGCCCACGTCCCTCATTGGAAGGCTCGGGAGCCCTCCCTTAACGAGATCTTAGTGGCGAGGAGACCGTACGCCCCGCCCCAGTAACGGTGGGAGGAGGGGCGTTGCAGAGAATTTTGGCCAATAGAGAGTAGAAACCGGACTGTAGAACGTCTTCCAATAAGAAGCACGAGAGGCGTCTTTGCCTCTTTCACCAGTCCGCCCAAACCTCCCGGAACCCGCCAATGAAATCGGAGGTATAGCCAAGCTCGGCCAACCAGAAAGCCAAACTGATCTCAGCACCCGGGTCCAATTGGTCGTGCCTTTTCTCAAAAATTTGTGTTTGGTTGTTGGTTCCAACTTAATCCCGCCCATTAATTCTACTCCAGGGTTCCGCCACCGCCTGAGCTTACTCCGTGACCACGCCTCGGTAGTGCTAGTCACACCTCCAAGTTTTGCCAACCCCACCTCCTTATTATTCCTGGCCTCTCGGGATCAGCTATTCCTATTGGTTACAAGCCCCATCGGTCGATAGAAATCGGGCGGTGATTGGCAAGGGGGTGGGCTCTGCTTCCCGGCGGGGTCCTGCGGAGTTGGCGGAGGCTCTTCTGGGGACTAGGGGACCAATCTGCGTAGAAGCGGGTGGCGGGGAAGACAGGGGAGGAGAACTCTGAGTGGGAAGCCGAGCCGGGGGCCTGGGACCCGTCGCGTCAGAGCCAGGTAAAGGCTCCTTCCTTCTCCCCTTTCTTATTCCCCGCCGCGGGGCTGGACCCTGACCGAAAAAACCCAGGCAGGGACGGAAAGGAGAAGGCGCGGATGCTGCTTGCTGCATCGCCTTCGCGGTGCCGCCCAGAATCCCCCTCCCTCGCGACCCTCTTCAAATCCCCGGGTACAGCCCGTAATGCTTCTAAGGACTGCGTCTCTCTTCCCCACACTGCCTGGGGCTCTGCCCTGGCTTGCCGTCCCGCAGCCCGCACCCAGCTCCCTCCCCAAGTCCTCGGTATACGAACAGCCTTAGTCCACCTTGGGGCAGCCGTCGTTGGCATTACCCGTAACCATTGGCTGCCGTCTAACGCTGTCTCCAAGCCCTGGCAGTCAGTCGGGTTACAGCCCTGGACCCAGAAGAATGGGTGTTCCGCACTGCTTCCGGGGCTCTTCCCGGGTCCCAGCCCCCGGCCCGTCCCGAACGGCTCCTCTTCGCACTCCGGTTCCCAGACCCATATGTGGGTCCCCAAAGTTGCTAACATCCCTGCGCTCTACGAAACACCGCGGCCCACGAGCCTCCTAAGTCGCCCCCTCCCATCCCCCTCAAGGTACCATTGCCCTCTCCCGGTCTTCTAAGCGTGTGCGACAGCTCCAGTTATGCCCGGCTCCCGTGCAGCCTTAGGACCCCACCTCGCAGCCCCCTCCCCGCTTCCTGCCCGCCTGAACCACCAGGCCGTCTCTGCTCGGTTTTCCTCGCTCTGTGTGGCCCTTTCTCCGGGCGCGAGAAGTGGGAGACACCGGCGGGAGCCTCGTCCTCCTGGCGCGGAGAGGGAAGGGGGAGGCCAAGGAGGGAGGGTGGCCGCTGCGGCACGCCGGGGAGCAAGGCGCACGGATCTGCGCTCCAGCCCGCTTCCCTCCCGCCTTCCGGGCCTGGGCCGGGGCGGGATCTCCTCGGGCACCTCCTGGTGCGAGAAGCCGGGACTGCGACCCTCACCAACCCCTCCCCCCAAGCCTGGGATTGGGTGCGGTATCTCGGATCTCTGGGCTTGGAAGACAAAAATATTGGGGGAAGCATTTAGAGTCACCCTTGTCCCTGGCTTGGGGCAGGCGACGGCTGCCTTCCGCCCCCCCCCATCCCCCCGGCTTCCCGGTTTTCCCGACTCCGACCCTCGCCTCTAACCCGTTTCCTGCTTCTGCCGACCACATTGTTTTCCTGGATGTGTCCCGTGCCGAGCTGGCTTTTTCCTGCAGATCTCCCCCCTCACCCCCCCCCAAACATTTTGCTGCCAAGAGAAGCTAGTAACCAAAAACAAAACAACTGGGAGGAGGGGCAGGAGGGGAAGAAAAGTTGTGCCCGGGTGGCTTGTCCCTTCCCGGCTTTGATCCCCTTTGATGTCCCGCGAGTTGCCCCGCTGGGGGTCAGGGGCCGCGTCGGAGGCAGGGCCGGGAGGGCTCCCTCGGTCTGGCCGCTGCCCAGCGCTGGCAGGGCTCCGGAGGCCGCCGAGGTGCCGCAGTCCCCGCCCGGAGCCCCGCGTTCCCGCCGCAGTCCCCACCCGAAGCCAGCTTAGGCGGCTGCTCCAAAGTGTTTTCTTTCAGCCTTAAAACAAAATCCGGAGGGAGCTTCCTTCCTCCCCATCTCGCCGCGCCTAGCTCTCCCGGCCGGGCGGCGTTTGGAGATGAATGGGCCGCGGCGGGACAGGGAACGTCGTCCCCTACCCCACCCCCGCTGCGATTAGGATCTGCGCCGGGGCTGATCGCCCCCTCCCCTTTCCCCTGCATTTACAGGCAAGTGAACTGGAGCAAACGACTTCCGATCCAGTCCGCGCTGCTGCGGCTCCCGTTTGGGATTTGATTTGCAGCATCTTCGAGCCTGTGCAACAAAAAACCGCGAAGCACGCCCAGCCCTCCCCCGGCACCCCGATACGCACCCATTCCCTCTCGGGGACACAGCTGGGCGCGTCCACACCCCCGCAACCCCACACCATGTTGTGCGGAAGGACTTGCACTCCCCGCCTGTGTCGTTGATGTCAGACCCCAGGCCAGCCTCCGGGCGCTGCAGTTCTCCCGGCTAATGCTGAGCCTGCGGCTCCGGCTCTAGCACAGGAACCAGCCGTCACCCCGCCCGGCCCCAGCGCTCACCGTCTGCATGTGCCCGCCGTAGCCGCCTGCCCAGCCCGCAGCCCGCGCTCCCCGGAGCGCTGGAGACCACCGTGGGGGCCCCCTTCTGCCCTCGGGAGAAGCAGTCTTGGAGGTATTGATTTCGGTGGTTGGATTTTTCCCGTGGATCTATCAATTCACAATTCGAATTTGGAAGAAAGAAGGAAAACATGACGTCTCCAGCCAAATTCAAAAAGGATAAGGAGATCATAGCAGAGTACGATACTCAGGTCAAAGGTAAGGGCTTGGAAAAATAGCATAATGCATATGATCTGTGGACCATTGAGGCATGTATTTTCACCCTGATTTGCAGGAGGTTCATTTCTTTGGGTGGAGCAGGTGGGGGCAGGCTGACCCAAGAGGTGGTTTCCTATGTGGGTCTGTACCTTCTGGCGATGGGCAGTGCCAGGGGCTACAAGCCCAGGAAAGGGATTTTTTGGAGTGGGCTTTAGGGTTTGCCCCTGTAGGGCTGGCCATTATTTTGGCAGCCCTTTCGCCCAGGCTGGATAGGGTGGAGGGAGGGTGGGGGGAGGGGCAGGAGGTTCTTGGAGCGTGAAAGGCCACAATTTGCCTCTGGTTGTCTGAATCAGGTTTCCTAGAAGGACGACTGAAATCTGACAGGTGTTAGGGAATTTATTCCAGAGGTTGAAGAGGAGTCCAGGCAGAGAAAGGCAACCTTGAGAAGGTGTACCTTTGGAGAGCCCTAGGAGAGGCGGGGTTTTTTTCTGATGCACTGTATCCAAACATGACATTTGCTGTGGCATCGGACACAGGAAGTCTGTAGCCACCTTGGGGGCACCTTGCACCTTCCTAGTCTCTGGTGGTCTTGCATTCAGCCAGAGATCTGAGCACAGAAAGAATAAGGTCACTTAGGATGGGTCTCCGCCCTCACCTAAACCTGAATGGAGTTGGAATGTTAGGGTTGCTGGGTGGTGCTGATTCTGGAGGACGGGAAGACATAATTGTTTCAGCCTTCTGCATTGTCAGCCACTGCCCCAGAATACATGCTTTTAACAGCCCACTCTACCTCTTTGCAAAAATGTGAAGGATAAAGCAAAATGTGGATGCGGAGAAACCCAGGGACCTGTCAGCACATCTAGTCTAGACTGCCTTACTTGGCATGTGAATCAAAGCACCTTCTCAGATAGCCTTTTTTTAAATCAGCGATTCCCATAGGAGGGGTTCCTGCCTGTTTAAGAGCCCCAGCATGTGTTTGTACAAGGCAATGTTCCTTCCTGGCCAGTGACTGGGAAGAGCCGTGTGGCTCGAGCCCGTTGAGACCTTAGCTGGGGAGTGGGAAAGGTGGGTGGCCTTGAATGTTACACCACATGGTTGGAGCTCTGGGTTTTCCTTTGTTTCAGAGTACAGAGGGAGGGGCCCCTCTTCTCCCTGCATCAATGCAAGGAAACCTTTTCCTATCATAGAAGACCTGGGAAGGGCCATGTCTCCCCTCTAATGATTGCCTGGGCTGGGGTTAGGGGTAGAGGTTGAAATGGGAAGCTGCCTTATCTCTTGGAAGCTTGGAAGGTAGTTTGAAGTCCCCATTGTGCCCGTGACACCTTTTTACTGTCATCAGCTTGGTCAATGCTGGACGTGTCCTGAGGGACCTTCTATCCACTTGGCTGCAAATATTGGTGGGTTTATTGCGGAAGATGGGGGAGTTGACTGATTGATAGCTTCAGTTGAACTGGGATTGGGAGAGGTGTGGTTGTTGAGTTATAATTGAGGTTTTGGCCTCTTGTCACTGTTCATAATCCAGGCCTGTTTTTGTAAACAATAGACCATTGGCCTCTGTGTCCTGTCCAGATGTACTGCATTCTGCTCCTGGAACACCCCCACCCCCAGTTTTAACCAGATTATCATCATTCTTTTTTTTTTCTTTCTTTTTTTAACATATCCTAGTCTTAACTGTTGCCATAGGGAGTGTGAATAACTTTGACTTGCCCAGATTTCTCTCCAGAATCACGCCATTTGACTAAGGTGCAAAGTGATTTTACATGTTTATTTTTTGGAAGGTTTGGGGCTGATAGGTGTTAATAGAACCGTATCTGCTGATTCCTTATTGGTGAGGGATTTCTCACAAGTATCTCAAAATTAAACACTTCGTGTATTTACAAACATTGCTCATTGAAATGATGTAATGAAGTTGGCTATTTAGGATTTCTCTTCCACCTTTCCATAAGCAGGGGACTGTTTTGCTTTGCTCTGATATTTTTCCATTGACAGTATTCATAGATTTTATAGTGGCCGAGCATGATGTCTTACTCGGAAGGCGTCCAGTAAACACTTATGGAACTGATTTGAATGGTTTAGTTCCTCATTTTATAGCTGAGGAGAGTACGGAGAAATTAAGAGGCTTGTCCAAGGTCACACAGCTAGGCAGTGGTAGATCTGAAACTAGAAGCACATTACCGACTCCCAATTCGTTATTCTATTCTATTCCTACTTACTATGAAACATTATCTGACCAGAGTAGGGAAAAAAAATATCCTTAAGAAGCCAAAATTTGTCAATGGATACTAGTAGTAATAATGATAATAACAGATTACATTTTGGGTGCTCATTATGTCCCTGCCTGTCTCAAGTGCTTTATAAGAATTGCCTCATTTAATCCTCACATCAACCCTGGAGGTGGATATTATTTCATCCCCTATTTGCTACATGAAGAAACAGGCTTAGGGAGGATAACAAGCCCTCCCAAGGTCATACAGCAGCCTGACTCCATTCCTTTATTTATCAGCTGTTTATTGAGTGCCTTCTCTGTGTTCTGGGAGTGGCAGTGTACAGTCAACAAGACAAAGGTCCCCTCCCTCATGAAGCTTACATTCTAGAACCTGTGCTCTCTGGAAAAGCGTAGAGCTTGGAGACAAAAGGGACCTGGGTTCTAGGTTGCCTCTTGCTCCCACGTTAGCTGGAAGCCCTTGTCAGAATTATTATGACTTTCAGCTTTTTATGTGTTATCTGGGACTCATACTGCTGCCAGTCTTACTTCTCTTACAGATGCCAAGATAAAAAAGAAAATTGCTATTTTGGTCTGGTGGTTAAGAGCACAAATTTCTGAGTTTAAAGGATCCAGGTTTAAATCTCAATTCTGCACCTTGGGCCAGCTACATGACTTGCCTGAGCCTCAGTTTCCTAACCTGGAAAATAGACGAAATGATGTACATTTCCTAAGGTAGTTGTAAGGAGTCAATGAGATAGTACATAAAAATTGTTTAGCACAGTATTTGACACTCAGTATTAGTACAGCCTGCTCTCCTGTTAGCAAACCTTACTTCTTGTTGAATTGGCTGACCCGTAAGGCTGCATTGCCTATTGGCCCCCAAAGCACCATCTCTTAAATGATAGGAAACAAGTCTGGGAATGAAACTTGAGTTCCAGTAAGTTCCTCCAGTAGTAGCGAAAGGTATCTTGGGCCAGTCACTTAAAACCTCTGGACCTGTAAAATGAACAGGTAAACGAATCATTGGCCGCTGTTCTCTGTGTCTCTGACCAGGGTCCTGGGTCCTCCTTTTCAGTCAGAATGGTTTGAATCCAGTGGACTCTAAATGGACTTTGTGGGACTCTGTCTATCCTGTGTTTTTTGCCTCCCTTGAAACCACCTGCGTGAATGTGCCCTGAAGGACTTCTGAGGCTGCAGCCCCAAACCCCACCCCAGTGTGGTTTTATGAGGGTGTGCCTCCTTAGTCAGCCTGCCTCGTAAGCCGCCTTTTAAAAAACCATCATTGTTTCTGGTTTGTGGGTGTTCAGATTCCTTTGAAAGTTCATGCCTCTCGATGTCTGATTCTAGAGCAATAGTATTCTTAGTGCTTTCACATGGCTCTTTCCAATTTACAAAGCACTTTCATATACATTAATCTCTGGAAATTCTTGACTACCCTGATCAGATTCATGGTCATCACCCTGAGCCCTTTTGGACTCCAGCCTGTTAGCTTCTTTTGGGGTCCGAGCAGTGAAATGGGCTAAGGTGCATTTACCAGAAGCAATAATCTGACTGGCATTTGGGTGGGTTCACATCACTGCATACAGGCCCAGCTATAGGCCTGTCCTTATTCAAGACCCCTTTTCCTTTGCCCTCTCCATGCCTTGAGTTTTTACAGCCCCTCGGAAAGCCTGAGATTGACAGTTCATGCACATTTTCCAGGAGGAGTCATCTGAAACCCAGTGGCACTGTATGCTGATCAGTCGAATTCTCTTTTTTGAGAACATTTGGAGTCTTGTCTCTTCCGTTCTTCCTTCCTCCCTCCCTTCCACCCTGCCTTCTATCCTCCCTCCCTCCCTCTCTCCCTGTCTTCCTTCTTCCCTCCCTCCCTCCCTCCCTCCCTCCCTCTCTCTTCTCTCTCTCTCTCTCTCTCTCTCTCTCTCTCTCTCTCTCTCTCTCTCTTTCTCTTTCTCTCTCTGCTCACCTCCCCTTTCCACATCATAGAAGAACTGTATGCATCACAGAGCTGAGAAGTGAAATTTTGTAATTTCCACCTGGAGCATTTTGATAGAAAAGCCTCAGGCCTTTGCCTACAACAGTTTAACCCTTTCAGGACCCTTTTAGAGCAGGGGATGAAATTGAAAACTCTGGACATATTGTGTGTGCACATGCACTTGGGACTATGGATTGCTGGTATTTAAACAACTTGTTCCCTTGGGAGGTCTGAGCAGTTCTTCACTCATGCCAACAAGGGTCTTCTCGGAAGCGTCTTTCCTCCCAGCCCCCGCCCCCCAAGGGAGCTTTAAATATAATCAGTTTCTGAAAAGCTGCAGTAAAACATCTTGTTGGAAGCCCGAAGCAGATGCTATCATCTTCTTGCTAGATGATTGAAGGCTCCTCTTCCCTTGCTCAGGGAACATAAGACT